TTAGTGTTATTTGAAAAACTTTTTTTGATTTTATACAGTATTAAGTAATCCTTGTAGTTAAAATTCTAAAATTTTAGATCTTTTGAAGAACTCGATTCACACTTCAAAATTTTTTTTACTGTATGTACTCTATACAACTGAGCCCGAAATTTGAAAGAGAATCGTTGAACGAAACCTTCAAGTTTCCTTTTTGGGGTCTTAACATTTGTGTAGATTTTGATTTAAGAGATTCGATAAAAATGGAGAATATGAAGAAACTAAATAACATAATATTTCATAACAAAAATATTGATATCCACAAAACTACCTAAACCCATCCGTGAAACCCGGGTTGCAAATCTGGTTTTCATGACGATAACCTGTCTTAAGTTTTGGGCTCAGGGGGGGGGGGGGCTAAACTTAAATTGTTACCATGCAGTCTTTTTGAGGTTAAACGTTAAAAAGAAAGTTTCTTTCACTATGTTCAGCCCCCACACTATACACTAGACAATACTCTAGAGAGAGAGAGAGGATAGGTGTCACATTCAACAGTGTTCTAGCTTGTACTGACCCATACAGCTAGATACAGATACAGATAGATAGATAGATAGATAGATAGATAGATATATAGATAGATTGGTGATTAGATAAATAGATAGATAGATAGATAGATAGATAATGCTCTTTTTCTTGTGTCCTTTTAATAGGTAAGAAAAAATAGTTATTTGGATTTTTCTATAACTTATATTCAAAAGAAAATTTGCAGCTAGCTCTAAACTATTTTTCCTTTGGCCGCCCTAGGAGGGGGGGGGGGGGGGGGGTATTGTAAAAAGTATATTGTTAAACCGAAATTTTAATTTGACAAGTCATATTTTCTACTAAAGCTTGAGCTTGCAAAAAATTACGCCAAAGTAAAATTTCTAAAAATTGCAAAATTGATTTCTTTTTAGAAAATGCAGAATTTAAAAGAAAGAGTAGAACGTTTTTGTATTTAAGAATATTTAAATTTTACTTTTTTAAATTTATTTTGTCAGAATAAGTTGCAAAACATTTTCCGACTTGAAAGTCTCTTTCTCTATAGTTAAATACAGTGTTTAACCTCAAAGAATTTAAAACTCTGGATATTTTGTGTTCAAAATTCTTAACTTTACCTCATACTTATCTTACACTATTTTAAATTCTTAAAATATGTTTTAGAAATTCTCAACAAAAACTTTCATAACTTTAGTCGTAGACGTAATTAAACCCATAAAAGCTTTGTCGTATCATGAAATATTCTTTATTAAAAAAAAAAAAACACTCTTTCTTCTAAATTCAGCATTTTCTAAAAATAGATCAATTTTGCAGAAACAATGAAGGCAGCTGCCACAGAAAAAAAAAACACTTTTAAATTTAGAATAACGAGATAAAATACAGCACCTAAAACTAAAGTAAATGCATGTTAGAAATCTTAAATGTTTTCAATCATAACTCATTAAATAACTTTGGAGGAATATAAATGTTTTGAATTTCTACTATGTAATTTTTTTTCCTATATTACATATTACATTACATCACATAAATTGTATTGTATACTCTGTCCGTCAGTACGTTTTATATTAATTTTCTTTATTCTTTATCTTCATTTTGTTCAGATATATTATCCTATTTGACTCTTTAATATTGTTAATACAATTTATCTATTTTTCTTAACATCATGGTACAATGAGAACTTATTTTTTGTATTAAATATTTTATGTTGATTGTTTTATTCTTGTGTTTTTAGAATTTTTTCATTAATCTTTTCATCTTTCTTTTTTTTGCAAATTTAGAAATTACACGAATTACACAATATTTTTTTTCTTTGTGAGTCAATGCAATTTTTAGTTTAAAGTATTTATATTCAGATATAAGAATAATTTTTATTCTGTTATTTTTAACATAATGATAATTATATTGGATGACGGAGACAAGAGTAAATAGAAAGTATATGTATTGTACATATATTTGTGTACATTGTGCACCAAAGCATAGAAAGCTGTCTGTCTATAACTACCCCTTAAAAGATCAGAGACCGTAACTTTTGAAAAAGAAAGCGCTTAGCTAGTCATCTAGTTAACTTCACAACTACATTTTAACTGAGGTTTATCTCTGCAAACTGGAATAAGTTTCATCTGTATATATTTGTATATCAACAATTCTCTCCAACCTAATGATATAAACCTTTTGATTTTTCAAACTTTTGCCGTTACATGTATTGGAGCATTTATAATTTGAAACATCTAATGGCTGCGACATTATAATTACAAGATACAAAGAAAATCAGAATTTTAGGAAAAAGTCAGTTCCTTGAACTTGTTTGTTGGTTTTTTTTTGTTTCAAATAAACATCATTAAGCGGCTGAACCGATTCGGAACAAATGTTTTTTGGATCTCACATGAACTAAAGAAGCACGGTCCAAAATCCAAAATGTCAATGGAATCTTCTTTTTTATCAAAATGTTCACAGAAGAAGATAGAACACCAAACAAGTAAATCCTAGAGATAGAACACCAAACAAGTAAATCCTAGAGATAGAACACCCAACAAGTAACCCTGGAGATAGAACTCCAAACAAGTAAATCCTAGAGATAGAACACCAAACAAGTAAATCCTAGAGCTAGAACACCCAACAAGTAACCTTGGAGATAGAACACCAAACAAGTAATTCCTAGAGATAGAAGACCAAACAAGTTAAACTATTACTAAATTAGACAGATTGGCGCAAAATCACTTAAAGGGACTGTAACTGTAATTTCAATTGACATTCCATGTAAAGATGGCAATGCCCGATTCACAACAATACCCGTTAATCCTTTATCTGATCAATAGTTAAGAAGTATCTAATTCCGATAATTTTTCTTTACTTTTTCTGTGGTGGAAATGTGCGAGTCAGTATTGTAGAGAAACGAAAATTGGAAATAATTAGTTTTTAAAATTGTAATCATTGATATCTAATTCATACTTGATCTTACACAACACATCTTTACAGGGTACAGTCGTAAATGTTCTATTGAAATTACACTTACTCCCCTTTAAACCTTTTTCTTTCTTTTCTAAAATTTTTTAAAGAATTTCCAAATGCTCAAGAATTTACAAAAAATTATTGAAAATTTTTCTAAAATGTATTTTTACAATATCTTTGCATTTATAAAAATTTGGTTCAAAGTTAAATTTGGACCGCCTTTCATCTGGTTCAACGCAGATTAATATTCTCTTAACTTCACATTAAGTTTTACAAACAAAAAAAGATGTTCTTAGAACTTTTTTTCCCTTTTGCCTTTAAACAAATTATCTTTTTAGTTTAAACTACGTCGAATAATAAAAAATTTATATTATGCAGAAAGAGGGAAAAGAAGCACCCCAGCAACCCCGATCTTTTCATCCATATGAACTATTTGCAAAGATGTAGAATTTTAGAAAATTTGAGTTTGTGGCAAAAGCTCAGTTTCTAAAAAGGACTGTAAATGTAAAATGAAAGGGGGTATAGCCTAGAAATTCAGGAGTTGATCGCAACCAAGAAAGAGCTAATAATGAAGAACCCCCCCCCCCATCGGGTTAGGGTTTAATAATTTCCATAGTTTTCAGGAATTGTTCCTGAATAATTTTCTAC